TAGAGAGAAGAGAGAAGATAAGTGGGGCGTTGGGTTAGGTTGCGAGATTGGGCTGTTTGCTCTTTATTTGAACACTTGAGGACGGGTTGGTTTCCGTGGGAATTAAGTTGAAATGGTTCGGGAAATTTATGTACATGTAGCATCTTATATAAATATTTACATATCTACCTCCATTGAAAATATTAATTAATGAAAAAAGAATTCTATTGCGATTTTATTTGCATAAGTACGAAAATTTGATTAAGTCAATTTGTTATGCTTTTCTCTCTCTGTCTCTCTCCATAAATTAATCTTGTGGCATGATGATCCCGTTATCAACGCAGCAAAAACGGTAATTTCAAAAAAAAAAAAAAGAAAACAAAAATTGCAGATTTTCTTAAACGATTTCAAAATTCGAAACTGAATATACAGAGAAACGAGCGATCTCTTACATCTAGAAAGAAACACCGGTCAAAAGGGAGAAAAAAAAAGATGATCGTGTTTATTTGTGAAATTGATCGAGGAATATCATCGAGCCAAAAAATCGAAGGTATAATCATGTTTATGTTTTTTTCCTTTTTGATGATCAATTACGAAATCAATGTTTTTTTTTTTTTTACTTTGTTCTTTCATTGTGTTGCATCGAGGCATAATCTGTTTATAACTCGAAGGTATATTCAATGTGTTGATAAACACTAAATGTATATTCATGTTTTATTTTTATTTATTTTTTCTTTTTTTTTGGTGATCAAGTACGAGATTATTGTATGTTCTTTAATTTATTTTTATTTTTTTACAATTTCATCGTTTTGAATATCTAAACGTAATATATGCAACAAGTAAACACAAATATATTGTTGTAATCTTAATTATTTATTTAGCAAATTTGTTTATTTTACATGAACTTTACTGATGTCAATGTGTTTATACATCACAATGGAGTGTGAATCAACAATTAATATGTGAACTATCAAGTCAGAGGTATCCTGATTAGTAAACAACAAAAATATACGGAAGATAAACATGAGATAAACAACCTGGAACACTTGAAATTGTGGTCGGAGGTATGATTTCAGATATTGTGATAGGCCAAACTTTCAGAGATAAAAGTGAAGCGATGAAATTGCACAGCCTTCATGCAATAACAAACCAGTATCAGTTCAAAGTGGAGAAGTCTTGTCCGAAGCAGTACTACGTAAAGTGTATATGTGCATATTGCAAATGGTTTATTTAAGCGTCGAGGACGTAGTGAGGCCAGGACGCCCGCGACAACAAAGGCTCAAATGTCAGATTTCAACAAGTGCCAAAAGTGCTGAAAAAATAAGTTATAAATCTTACTATTTTTTAATTACGTTAAAATTATTATTTTTTCAATAATTTATAGTAATGCACATTCTAAATATTTGAATTTTCTTTCTAATCAAATAATTCACATGGTAGTTCAACATCGATTGCTTTATCATTATAAGTTATAATAATATATATTATAATTTTTTATATTTTTTATAAGCTAACAACTCACATCGTTGTTATACCGATGACTCGTTGATTTATCATTATATTTATAACAATATATATTATAAATATTTTATACGTATTTACATGGATAGTTTGACAGACGATCCACTGGTTTGTCATCATGATTTATAACAATAAATATTATAAATAAATTTAATTTTTCTTTTTAAGCCTATAATTCACATGATAGTTTGACAGACGACTCGTCTGCTTATCATAACTTATAACAATACATATTATAAATGCTTTGATTCTTTAAAATCTAATAATATATATGTCAGTTCGCCTGAGATCTCACTAAGACAATAATTTTTTTCATATGCGGAAGGCCAACTCCAAACTTGGGGATGAGAGATGACTGGAAAGAGTGCTCGTACTCGCAAATGTATTTGCCCCTGTCTTGGCGTGGTCCGCTCCTAACTAACCCATGAATTACTTTCGATTATTTTATACTATATATATTATATACAAAAAATTATATTATATTATATGAAAAGCTCGAGACCAAATGTTATTTTTCAAACCGTATTAAATAATAAATTTCATTTCATTTCATATATGCAATATTAACCAATAAATTTATTAATACTTGAGAATTATTATATATATATATATACATACATACAGTATGAGTGTCAAATAAAAAATTTTAAACAAAAGATTAATTGAAAATTATATCTAAGAATTGGATATAATAAAAATATGATAAAGTTTTTTTTTTAAAAAAAAAAAACATTAATACTTGATAAGAAAACTGAAAAATAATAATAAAAAAAAAAAGCAGGCAACGATATTGAAACTAAATGGGACAAAAGTATAGTTAGGAAATTTTTTCATCTAGTGATTTCAGAATACAAAATAATTGATGGTAAATTTTTTACAAGTTTATTTTCCAAATCTATTAGTTTATTAATCCATAAACGTACCACGGCTTCCTTAGCAAGGCCTTCTCTTCCTTCGAAAAGCTAACCCGGATCACCACTTTCTTCATCATAAAAAATCGCCTCATTAAAACACATGGGATCCCCATCATCGTTCTCTGTCCACTCCTGCCAAGCCGAATCGTCGACT